GTGCTCCTGACCGACCCGAAGGAGGCGGCCTCTCTTACTTCAGAAAGTCGACTGTGTTTCCATCCCTGGAACCACAAGGAACACTCTAGAGTCTCAGTGGCCATCGTATCTAGGCTGAAATTCAACTCTTCCTGACCTGCTTGCCCACCCCCAAATGTTCCCTGCATATCTGAGCATCGTAGACAGAAGGGAGAAAATGCTTCTGCTCAGATTAAAACGCAAAGCTAGGTCTGGGACCTGGGTCACCGGGTAGCTTACTTTAAGCTCCACATCTTGTCCAACCCTTCCTGTACCCTCTTTCTCAGTCACCCTCTACTCATTCCCAACTCCCTGGCAATTAAAAAGCTTTGGCAACTTTACCTACTAAATTTTAACCCCTTCATTATATACCCATGGCTGCAGTTTCAGCGCTTACTGTATAGCCTGACGCGGTTTCACTGACACTGCTTCTACTCAAGCGCCCCTTAAACCAGTGTGGCACACAGTGCCACAGTGATTGCTGGAAAACGCAAACAAGGCCCTTTAGCTCGAACATCCTTCAAGAAACCATGACACTGTAGGGACAATTCTAAGCTCCCTAGTGTGGCATACGACACCTTTCGCGTTCTGGTCCTACAACGTCTGCAGGCTCACCATATGCACTTCACTTGCTCTAGGTGCTTATGGCTTCCCAGAACACCCAGCCTTTGGTCTGTGCTCTGTGATTTCCTCAGGGCAATGCCTTCTACCTGCATGCAACCGTGCCTTCTTTTTTCTAGTATGTTTTTTCAGATGTATCTTCTTACACAAAGCCTCTCCCCTCCTCCAACTACTCTTGGCCAGCAGCCTCTCCTTTGTATTTATCTAGAACATTCTTCTTATTTCTATCATGGTATTTACCTCTTCAATGAACTCCTTTGGATAGAGTGCCTGTATAGGGGGAATCCATATTTACTAAATTTAACTAAATAGATTTTAAAAATAAATTGTTTAAGGTAACATTGGTTTATACTAAATTGATTTTTAATCTTCCAATAGTGCCCATCTTTCTTCCAGCATCAGGGTCTTTGCATAATTAGTTCTGTCTAGAATAATTTTCTCCTTGAATCCTCCTCACTTCCTACATAGCATGTTATAATTTCAAATTATTTACAAAGATAATATAGCTATAAGTTAACAGCCCAGATACTGATGTCACTGTGTCTAATTTCAAAATGCAAAGTGGGATCTGGGGGCTTCTGGCCAAGATGGAGGCATATGTAGCTATGCTTTGCTTCCTCGCATGACCAAAAGAAGGATAATAGCCAACTAAAAGAAAACAACACAACCAGAACGACCAGAAAATTGAACTATATGGAAGTCCAACAACCAAGGTGTTAAAGAAGAAACATTCATCCAGACTGGTGGGGGGCGGGGATGGGAAGCCAGGGTGGTGAGGGCGTGTGACAAGGCGGAGGGGCCACACCAGGATGTCCCACATTTGTACACAGATGAGCTGGGAGGAACAACTGGGTAGCAAAACAGCGCAACCCAGGGTTTCAGTGTGGGAAAAGAAAGCCTCAAAACCTCTGGCTGTAAAAGGTCCCCGGGACTGTGGTGGCGGGAGAAACTTTCAGCCTCATAGGAGAGTTCTTTGGAGAGACCCACAGGGTCCTAGAACGTACACCAACACACTGACCTGGGAATCAGCACCTGGAAAGGTACAATCTGCTTGTGGGAAGCAAGGCGAGAGTTGAGCAAGCGGCATCGTTTCCTCTCTGACCCATCCCTCACATACAGTGCCGCAACGCAGCAAAGGGTGCTGCCCCGCCTGGGGAGTACCAAAGGCTCCACCCCTTACAACCTAACAGGTGCACTCAGACAAATAAATATGGCCCAAAAGAAAGAACAGATCAAAACTCCAGAAAAAGAACTAAACAATGAGAAGAGAGCCATCTTATCCGATGCAGAGTTCAAAACAGTGGTAATCAGATGCTCACAGAATTGATTGAGCTTGGTTGCAAAATGAAGGAAGAAATGAAGGTTATACAAAGTGAAGTAAAGGAAAATATCCAGGGAACCATCAGTGAAGGGAAGGAAACCAGGACTCAAATCAATGATTTGGAACAGAAGCCTTCAACCAGAACAGAATGAAGAAACAAGAATTCAAAAAAATGAGGAGAGGCTTAGGAACCTTTGGGACAATTTTAAACATTCCAATATCCAAATTATAGCAGTGCCAGAAGAAGAAGAGCAAGAGCAAGAAATTGAAAACTTATTTGAACAAATAATGAAGGAAAATTTCCCCAATCTGGCCAAGGAAATAGACTTCCAAAAAGTCCAGGACGCTTAGAGAGTCCCAAAGAAATTGGACCCAAGGAAGCACACACCAAGGCACATCATAATGAAATTACCTAAGATTAAAGATAAGGAGAAAATCTTAAAACAGCAATAGAAAAGGAGACAGTGACCTACAAGGGAGTTCCCATAAGACTATCAGCTGATTTCTCCAAAGAAACCGTGTAGGGGCTGGGAAGAAGTGTTCCGAGTCCTGAAAGGCAAGGCCCTGCATCCAAGGTTACTCTCTCCAGCAAAGCCGTCATTTAGGATGGAAGGGCAGATAAAGTGCTTCCCAGATAAGGTCAAGCTAAAGGAGTTCATCATCATCAAGCCCTTATTATATGAAATGTTAAAGGGACTTATCTAAGAAAAAGAAAGTCAAAACTACTAACATTGAAATGACAACGAACCCACAACTATTAACAACTGAACCTAAAAACAAAAACAAACTAAGCAAACAACTAGAACAGGAACAAGATCACAGAAATGGAGATCACATGGAGGGTTATCAGCAGGGAAGAGGAGGAGGGAATACGGGGGTGGGGGAAAGGTACAGGGAATAAGAAGCTTAATTGGTAGGCACAAAACAGACAGACAGAAGGTAAGAATAGTATAGGAAATGGAGAAGCCAAAGAATTTACATGTATGACCCATAGATGAACTAATGGGGGGGATGCAGGGTGGAGAGAGGATAAAGGGGATAAAAAAATATAGTAGCATAATCAATAAAATATACTTAAAACATGTAGAATGGGCGACCTTAAGCAATTTCCACACTCTGTGTGTCTACGCGCACATGCTTCAGTTCCTTATTTGTAAGATGGGACTAATAATCCTAAAGCATCAGTTAAGTTACATACTGTGTGCTGAACAGACTGCGGCTGGCACGCAGTTAATACCCACGGTGCACTACTTAAAAATATTTGTGTTTTTAAATTGCTGAATGTCATTTAACTGGAGACTCCAAAAAGCTAAGGACTCTGATATCTTATTTTTTAAATTGTATTAAAATATTTTTATTGATTGATTTTAGAGAGAGAGAGGAAGGAGGGCAGAGAGAGAGAGAAACGTTAATTTGTTGTTCCACTTATGGACGCATTCCTTGGCTTTCCTCGTTTGTGCCCTGACCGGGGATCAAACCCACAACCTCGGCGTATTAGGATGATGCTCTGACCAGAGGAGCCACCCAGCCAGGGCACCAATGTCTTCTTTACTCTTGTATCCCAGTGCCCAGCATGGCAAACCAGTAAGCGCAAGATGAACTCGTGTGATCCGAGTGGCTGCAGAAAGGACAATCCTTACTTTAGAGCATCAACTGAAGATAAGGAGGGAGCTGTGGCTGCCTATCAGGAGCACTATCAGTGGCTTTCTTCAATTAATAATGAACTTCCTCACCCTTCTGTTCACTTGGCTACATGACCAAGCTACTCTTTTTGGTTTTCTTTAGTTTAAATGAAAACAGTCAGGGGAAAGTTAGATGAGTGGAGTTGCTCTTGGCTTTTTATTAGAGGAAATTGTGCTCTTATTTACTTCATTCAGAACAAGGACGTTTCTGGAATAAGTCTGCTCAGGTTACGGTGACCTTGCTCTACAGAGAACAGAGAACGTCTTACGGTGACGCACTTGAGGACCAGGTGACCAGCAGCACCAAAACAACAGGGCGATCAGGGCACCTTTGTAAGCAGGTGAAACTCCAACAGGGATCCTGACATTTATTTTTAGTGAAACCTGAGCATCTGCCCTTAAAAACTATCTTTACGTGGAAAGGAAAGGACAACTTTTTACTTTTTTAAGGGACAGAAGTACTGTAAAAGAAGGAAAGTCTAAGTCAGCCTTGCCTGGTTATAGTTTTGTTGTTTTTTTTTAATCGCAAAATTTTCAATGAAAGAATAAAAAAAAAAAAAATAAGTCAGTGGGCCAAGGGAGGGAAAATTCTTATGTTAGAAAACCCAGGTTGAGGAAAGGGACAGGGCAGAAAGAGCCAAGGCAGAGAGGATCCCAGCCATAGGTTGCCTAGTCCTCATCCTCTATGAAGGCCGGCCTGGGGGACCGGCAGGAACCGCACTGCAGGTCCCGTTGCCGAAGCCAAACCAGCGGCCCCCACGCGGCTCGGTGCGCCCTGCGCCCTGCGCCCTGCGCCCTGGGAGCAGGCCAGATCCTTCACTGTCCAGCCACAGAATCCGCGCGGTTCTTCTCGGGCCAGTTCACTGTGAATTCGACATACCTGTTTCTGTCCCAAACTTGTTCCTCTGTGTCATACGTTTACTGTGTTATGCAGTCTTGGAGCTCAGAAGGCAAGGCTTCGTGCAGAGCTGCGGCACAGGCAGGTGGTCTCCGAGGAGGGGGCCAGGGAGGGGCACCACGCCCTCCTAGTAGAGGCTTAGCGCTGGCCCCAGGCTAGAGCATCAGGTGGCTTCCTTGCAGTCCCCTTGGCAAAGACCTTCACAGTCAGAGCCCCTCTTTGGGCCGACGACAGGTGGCTTTCCAGTAGCTGTTGTTTCCCCAAGGGACATAGAATCTTTTACCCTCACCCCCCAAATACCCTTTCTTGTGTATAATTTCGTGTCTAGAGTCTTTATAAGCCAGATGAAAAAAAGCGATTCTAGCCCTTTCTGACCCAATGGGAAAGTCTGGAGCTGAGGAAGGACAAAGGGACCAGGCCGGGCAGTAGAGAGGAGGGGCTCTAGCAGGTGTTTACTTACCACCTTTTGGTTCCCTTCGTTATCAGTGAGCAGCCACTCGATGTCCAGGGTGTCCTTTCCTGGAAGCCCCAGCTGATGATGACAGGGCAAAGTGACCTTCTCCTCTGCCACTCTCTTGATCTCAGTGTGAGTCCCCAAGGTTCCAACATAGCAGGAAACTGCAAGGGGGAAGCATTTCATGAGTACTGCGGACACTGGGGGCGGCGTGTGGAAAGCAGATATGACACCTGATTGTTCTTGGATGTTCCTCTGGGCTGGGGGCAAGTCCCTGAGTTGGAACCCTAGACCAGAACGGCTAGAAGTCCCAGGATCTCATGCCAGCTCCCGCATTAACTGAGTTCATTGTGTCTTCCTTAACTGCCCATCCACCCCTGAACTACACTTCTACAAGGCTGGTCTTTCCTACCTTAGAGGTTTTTATGAGTAATAAATCACTCAGCTCAGCAGCAACTATGTTTTTTTATCTTTCTCTCCCCTACTAGCAGAGGATTCCAGTAGGACAGAAACCAAAGGGGAAGGCAAGGGCTGGCATCTTCCCTGGACAGGCTCGGGTACCAGGTCTCCCAGGAAGTGCAGGAATGCTCCGGGCAACCAGCGGCTCTTGCGGGCGGCTCCCGCTTCCTTTAGGAACACAGGTTCTCTCATCCCCCGCCTCCTATCTTCCATTCTTTATAGTTTCACATCCTACGGTTTCAACCATTTCTATCAAAGCGTAATTCTGAGTTACCACATTTGGGTCCTGTCCCTCTGTGGATCCAATATCCATTTAGCCAACAGTAATTCATTTCCATTTTTGCCTTTTTTCTCCCCCGAACTTTCATCTTTTCCAGGGATGGTATCCTGTCAGCAGCTTTGGACTCCAAGCTCACTTTTCTCTCCTTCCTATTAATCTCTCTCTCAGCACCTGGCTAAGGCTCGGATAGGGTTGACTCTTAAGTCCACAGTACCGATGACTGATGAATTGCTATGATAAGACCTCACCTAGATTCCAGGTGTGATCTGTCTAGCATTCAACATGTGCTTTATCTCTGGGTCTTTATCTCCTCACACAGCAATAGAGAAGCACAGTGTGAAAAATGATCTCTTTCGAGCCATTCGCAATGCAACAATATCATACAACCTCCAAGTTAAAACAAGGGCCAGGGCTTGTGTGAAGTCCTTTCTCCTGGGACGAAGTCACTCTGCCACCTGAGAAGGGTTTTAAGCACCGAAGACCCAGGAGCATGAGCAGCAGAAGCATAGAGGCTATCTCTTATTCCCTGCCCATTTCCCAGAACTGGTTAGCAGCAAGTCGGTGAGGAGGACAGGGCCTGTATCTTGCCTGCAAGACAATGAAACGAGGAAGGAGGGGGCAGGGGACTGTGGTTCTCTCTCTGCGGCCGATGGGGTCAGAGCCTGGAAAGGTGTCACCCTAAAAGCAGCAGCAGGCGGGTTCCCAATCTCCAGGACAGAGGACAGAGCCCACAGAACTATGCTTCACCTAAGAAGGAGGCTTCAGCTGCAGGGTCTCACTGACATTCTCAGCGTGGTTTCTCTTTCTTCTGTTTAGCACTTGACTCTGCAGTGGGCGTGGTCTCCATTTCGTGAGCTCTGCCTATGGTTTGGCTCTAGATTTAGAATGAGCTTTCAGATCTATGAAGAAAGGGTTTCTCTCCAAATTTGTTCAGGAAGTGGAAAGGAGTTAGCAGCTTGCCCAATATCACAGACTAGGAAGTGCCATGGGCAGGGCCCACCTACATGTGACACTGCACAGCTCATGCTCTGACAGCACATGTGCCCTGTGTTTCATGTGGCTTCCTGGAGGCCTGGCTCTCCTATTGGCCAGAAGCTTCTGGAAATTAAGTACCGCCTACCACTGCACTCTCATAGCACCCGCCCGGTCTCTCACACTGCAGGGGCTTAATAAATATTTGCTGGATTGATTTGAATCTAAGCCATGCACTCACTTTACCCGTGAACAAACTGAGGCCCAGGGACAAAGGAGTCAGCCCAACACCCTACAGCTCATTTAGTGGTAGAAATAACCCACGTAAAACCCATCCTCCCTCAGTCCCCTAAAGCAGCTACATCGCAGCAGGAAGAGAGCAGGTGTACACTGTACTAAGCTAAGCTTGCAAGGAGGAGCTCTGACCTCGGCCCCTGATCCATTTCCACTGGGCACAACAGTGCTCCAACGAAGAACCCAGCACCATTTTGGTGCATACAGTAGGCACTCCCTGTACGTTGAATAAACAAATGCAAAAATCAGCCACAAAAGTGCTGCCTTAAGCCACTAGAGGGAATCAAAGGCTCGGGTTTGGTTGATGCCCCAAAAGGAAAGGAACACAGTGGTGGGCGGTGCGCTCTGGCAGAGCCCCGAGCTCTATTTATACCATACCCGGAATTAAGTAACGCAGTACAGGGAGGGCGCCACTGCATGAATACAAATGACGTTACCAAGATAGGGAGCCTTCCGATCAGCGCGTGCACTTCTAGTCTCCCCTGAACCTCAGCTCCCCAGCCTCAAAGAGGCCCCTGGGATCCCTGCAGGTTGCTAAGGGCCTCCTGCTCTTTTTAATGCCAGAAAACCCCTGTTCTGTTGCGCAGGCGGACAGGGTCCCGGACTCCGCACACACCAGGCCTGGCAATGCCTGCGGGGGCTCTTGCGCATGGGCCTGCTGTCCGGCACGGGGCGGGAAGGGGCAATCTCCTAAACCCCCAGCGGCCAGCCTGGGGCTCCCTGGGCTTTCAAGTACTCCCCTTCCTTAGCAAAGACCTTCGGGATCGTGAAGATTTAATTTACGAGGACCTGCAGCCTGGAGAACGGAAACGTCAGGGCGCAAAGCTAGTTCGTAGCAGAACCCCAAGTCCGGGAGTGATCCCGCTGGGAGTCTGGCGCTCCTGCCGCGTGGACGGGGTGCGGGGAGCGTGCTGGGGGGTGGTAGTGCGCACACCGTGTCCACGCGCGCTGCGGTCACGTCACGGGGACTGCGGGCGTCGGCTCCGTGGCGGCCTCTGCACGCAGCCCAGGCACTTGACTGAGGACCTGGGGGAGCTGGGAGCGTTACCCCAGTGCTTCACCCTCCAAAGGCTGAGCACAGCGCAGAGGCACCTCCGCGAAAATGCTCTCCTCTACCAGGAGAAGCGCTTTTCCCGGCTGGCTGCTGCCTCCAGCCAGCTCAGATTAATTTAAGGTTTTATTCTCTAACGGGCATTTACGTTTATCAAAGATTCTATTGAACCTTCAAGACCTTCATCAAAGAAGATGGTGGCAGAAGTAACTTTTCTTTTTTTCCCCAACACAAATACTTTTTCTATAACGGAGCCACATATCCTGAAGATGAATCCATTCAGAAGATAATGGTAAATTATTAAAAGGCAATTTCTATGACCGGTTGACTCTCTCATTCACATTAAAGCACTCATTAGTGAAGTCTTTTAAAAACCGTTCTGTACAATGAGCTAGCATTGCTTTTGTGGTCAGAGAGCTGCTTGGATGACCCTTTTAAGGAAGTTCATTGAGTTCAACTTAATGAAGCCCGCAGCCCTAGGTCCTGATGGAAACTGTTTCCATTACACGCTGAGCCCTAAGGCCGGTCAGGCCACGTGGGTCCGAGCAGACGGGCAGGAGTGAGAACACGGGCCAAATTTTCTTAGATGGCTCCCCTTAGAGCCGCTGGTGACTCATCTCGCCTTAGAAAAAGGCCAGGGGTAACTTTTAATAGAAGCCCGGACGCTGCATTGGAAATGTCTATTCCTCTCTCATCTCCCGAACGGGAAATTCTTCAGCCTCTCAAATGCACACCGAGCGCCCACAGGGCGCAGGCTGCTGGGGGGCTCACAGGTCAGTCTGCGGGTGGACTCTGCCCCGGGCATGGGGGCTCCGAGCGGCCATCGTCAGTCCAGGCTCCTGGCTGTGGCCAGCGCCCCACCTCGGGGAGGCCACAGCGCCTGGTGCACAGGTTGCGAACCGGTGGCTTCCATTTTACAGGAAAATTTCTCGTTTACCAGGCTGTGTAGACGAGTAGCAAAGTTAGAGCCGAAGTAGCTGCTGTTCGAAGTCGATGTCAGGTGCAGGAGCCGCGCCATTCGCATCATTTAAGGCGCAGCAGGGCACCCACTCACGGGGGCCCGAGGCGGGCCAGCACCTCCTTCCCCCGGGTGACCACGCTTCTCTGCAGGGCCATTCCCTTACCTGGGGGAGCGGGACGAGAACTTTCTTGTATTTTGCCTTCCATGGAATATTTGAGAAAGTCTCAGGACCATCAAAATTCTCAAATGCCAGTCAGAAAAATAAAAAGGACTTTGGAAATTTTAAAATCAACTGCCCGTATTTTACAGACCAAGGAATTGAGGCTTAAAGAGAAGTGACTCACCCAAAGGTGTTCTCATTTATAGACCAAAATAGATAACATTCTGCCTAGGCATGCATGTGGGCGTGTGTGCATGTGTCTGCATGTGTGTAGCATGTACCTCTGCAGGCTGTTTCTGGAACACTGTACACAATTCAAGATACAGCGTGGTGCAACACAAAGGGAACGTTAGATCGATGTGACTTTAAGTAGGGGCCAAACCACCTGTGAAGTCTCTGACCGCTCTAAGTCTTTTTCTCCTCTGGAAAATGAGAATGAAAATATCCATGTGACGGTTGCAAGGACGTATGTAAAACGCCTGGCATTGGCACGTGGCATACAGTACACACTCAAAAATGGTAATTATCCTTGGTAATAATTGTACATGCTGTACTTTGAAAGACAAGAAAAACCAGAAAAATATACTGAGAAGGTGAAGCAGAATTGTGGGGAGTTTGAAAAGTCATTTTACTTGATAACTGTTAATATTTAGCCATATTTGCTTTATCTCTTTCTGCATACATACATACATATATATATATATATATTTTGCTCCACCAGTTGAATGTAAGTTGCAGATAGCACAACACGTTACCTCTAAATGTTTCATGAAGCACCTCCTAAAAATAAGGCTCTTCTCCACAACCACAACCTCATTTCCACACCTAAGAAATTAATACCATTGTACAGAAGGTCGTTTCTGACCAGAGTGTTAAGGAAGACTCGGCTGTGGGACTGAGCTAGTTCTGGAAAGACAGGCAGGCTCTCTCCCTGTGCAGATGGGAGGCCGGGCACAGCGTCCTTGGCGAGGGGAGCCACGGGGCAGG